TGCTTCAAACTCTTCACACTGAATAGATTCACCTAATTATTACGAGGTCAACGGGGTGACAATGGAATTCATGAACCTTGTGCAACGGTAATTTAAATGTGTCCTTACAAAATAAATATTTTAAATCTGAAGGAAGCTGAAGAGTAACGTGATCCCCCTCACTCACTGCACAGGAGAGGCAACTGAGGCACAGAGAGATGACATCATCTCTCCAACTTTGCCTTGGACACGCATCTATACACTCCCCCACTCCAACTACAAGGATTTTGAAATTCTGAGCCTACAGGAATCAGGGTAGTTCTAGGTCCTGCTACAGGTAAATTGGCCTCTTGGGCTTGAAAACTTGGAGGAACAGTATGGGTAGGTCAGAGTGAAGGTTGACAAGCTGCAGGGGTGTATCTGAAGCAAAGCTCAATGGAAAAGAAACAAACCCTAGACTGGGAGCGTACTGTGGGGGAAAAAAGAATGTCCCTGTGGCAACTCTCATATTCTCTCACCATTCCCTTGAGTACAGCGCAGGCCTAGACCAGCAACTGTGTGTATACACCACCTCTCCCGTCCTGGCGCACCGCTCTTATCTTGGATCAAAACCCATTTTCAATCAATGCACTGTTAATCCATTAAGAAAAACAACAGAAAACTAGGCAAAAAATAACTGAGGATATAAAGGAGCTCAACCATACTATCCAGTGAGAGGCTCTAATCCACCCAACAGCACCGGTATAGACATCTTTTCAAATACCCCTGGACCAGTTCTCAAACTTAACAATATCCTGGGCTATAAATCAAACATTAACAAACTAGAAGAAATGAACTGAAAAAGAGTATGTTCTTGAATCACTATGTCATGAAACTAGAAATCAAAAGCAGAAAAAAAATTTCCAATCATTTGAAAACTAAAAATAGACTTCTCAATAATCCAAGGGTTAATGACAAAAATCTCAAGGGAAATTTAAAAATATATTTAACTACGTGCAAATAAAAACACAACATATCAGAATTTGTGGGATGAAGTTAAAATGTGCTGAGAGGGCAATTCAGAGCACCAAATGCTTACACAAAAATAGTCTCAAATCAAGAATCTAAATTCTACTGCAGGAAGAAACCCAAAATAAAACCAAAGCAGAGAAAAGGAAGATGATAAAGAGATCAAAATATAATGGAACTGATATCAAAGTTAATAGAGAAAAATAATGAAGCAAAAAGTTGGCATTTTGAAATTAGAATAAGAAACCTCTAACAAGATTAACAAAGAAAAAAGGAAGATAACCCAGTATCACTGATAATTTCTAATATCAGATACAAATCAAGGAAGTTACTACAGGCCCCACAGATGTTCCAAAGATTATACGGGGCTATCATAATTCTACATGCACAAATTTGACCACTTAAAAGAAACAGAATAATTCTTTGAAAAACAAAAACAATCATAATTTACTTAATATGAAATTTATCATTTGGGTATACTTATATTCATTAAACTAATGAATCTGTAATTTTATTTTTCTTTTTTAGTGCTGGAAATCGAGCTCAGGACTTTGCACTTGCCAGGCAGGTGCTGTGATACTGAGCTATACCCCTGGCCCCTTAATCTGTAATTTTAAAGACTCTCCCCAGAAGAAAACTCCTGGCCGAGAAGGTATCAGTGGATACCTTCATCAAACATTTGAAGAATTAACACAAATTCTTACACAACCCAAGTTCTGTTCCCTAAAAGGAAAGATGAAGGAGCAGGTCCCAACTCATTTTATGATATTGATGTTGCCTAACACTAAAAGCAAAGAAAAAAAGACAGTTAAAAAAGAAAAGGGAAGAAAGAAAAAGAAAATAAAATGTTAGAATAATGGCCCTCATGTACAGATATAAAAAAAATTTTAACAAAATGTTAGCAAAGTGAATTCAGCAACACACAAAGAATATTTAAAAAGGACATACTAACTGACATGACCAAGTAGAATTGATACCAGGGGCAAAATAGTGGTTTAATATCGAAACAAACAAACAAACAAACAAACAATGCAATCAGCCATACTAAGGCAAACAAAAAATCCCATGATTACATCAATTGATGCAGTAAAATATTTGGCAAAATTCAGTACTCACGGGTGATTTTTAAAAGTCTCTAGGAAAACTAGGAAGTAAAGGAAGTTTTCCATAAGGATAAAAACATATACAGAACACCTTCAGCTCACATCATCCTTATGGTGGAATACAGAAACCATGCCCTTAGATCTAAACAAAGCAAAGACATCCACTCACACCACTGCTATCATCAGAGTGCTAGAAGTTCTAGCCATGCAATAGGAAAGAAAAGAAAACACTACAGATTGGAAAAGGAGAAATGTAACTCTCCTTTTCATACATGACATGATGCTATACGTACAAAAGCTTAAGAAACCTATCAGAAAAAATATACTTCTAAAACTATTAAAATTTGAACAAATCAAAATACATCAGCACACAAAAGGCAATTCTCTGCCTCTGTAAAGTAGCACTGAACATGGCAAAAATAAAATTAAAAAATATGTACTATTTAAATGATCTAAAAAGTAAAACACTTTGCTGTGAGCCCAACAGAATATTTTCAGGATTCAAACGTTAACCCCTAGAAGTCATTTATATAAGACATTAAAGAAGATCTCTAAACATATGAGAGACATATTATGTCCACGGATTGGCAGACTCTACATAGTAAGTATGTCCAGTTCTTTCCAAACAGACATGCAGTAATAGCATCATTCCCACCAATGTCCCCGCATGATTTTCTCTCTTGCTTGCTTGCTTTCTTGTCTTCTTTAATTGTTTTCTGAGACAGGGTCTCGCTGTGTGGTCCAGGCTGGTCTTGAACTCACAATATAGTCTAGGCTGGCCTCAAACCCTAGGCAATCCTCCTGCCTCAGCCTCCTAAGTGCTGAGATTACAAGCATGTGCCACCATGCCTGGCTAATATTTTCTTCTTTTAGATACGGACAACATTTTTCTAAAATTTATATATGAAAACAAATTATAAGAGTTAAGAATAAGGAGGCTGAATTACTCTCTCCAATTTCAAGACTTATTATAAAGCTGCAGAAATCAAATGAAGTACTGGCAGAGTGACACATACACAGACAAAACAGAGAATCCAGAATACCCCACACTAGTCAAGACAATGAATTTTTGAAAACTGAATAAATATAATTCAATAGAGGAGTTTATCTCTTCAATCACTTGTGGTGATGTAACTGGAGGTGAGGATGGGGTAATAGATCACAATTCTCACACCCTAATTTCATATAAAGTTAATCACAGTGATCTAAAGTGTAAAACCTAGTTATAAAACTCTTAGAAGAAAATCCTCAGCAATCAGAACACCTTACAAAGTTCTCAGAGATTACTCCTCCCAAAACTATTTTCCATAAAAGGAAAATAAATAGTCTTCATCAGTATTAAACACTTCCCCCGTGAAAATTCTTGAGAGGATGAAATGAAAAGCTAGAGATCTGACAAAGACTCATCTAGCATGTATAAAGAATTCTTAATACTGAGCAGTGAAAATATAAAATAAAACAAACAAAATAATCCGACTTGTAAAAGGGCAAGTAACATAAAGAGATGTTTCAATGACAGATATGCAGATGACAAATAAGCAATAAAGAGTGATCACGACCGCTAACCAACAAGGCAGCACAAATTAAGACCACAATGGGCTATCAATCTATTAAGCATCAACTTATTACAGTTGCTAACACATAAAAATAATGACTATACCAAAAGCTGGTAAGAACAGAGAGAACTGAGTTTCTCAGACATTGCTGGCTGCAAACAGAAAATGTTATGGGCACTTAGAAAAGCATTTGACAGTTCTCTGAAAAAAGAAGTTGAGAGCAGAACAGTGACGGAGAGTAGGGGAGAAAAAGGAAAACTGGGCTGCAGAGTGCAAGGAGAAGGTGAGATGGGCAGAGATAAAAATAAACCGCCACATATTTTGAACTTACAAGAAATTACTTTTTTTGGAGACAGGGTCTCGCGATGTAGCCCAGGCTGGCCTTGAACTCACTATGTAGCCCAGGCTGGCCTCGAAATCACAGCACTCCTCCTGCCTCAGCCTCCAGAGTGCTGGGATTACAGGTGTGCACCACCACACCCAGTTTAGAAGAAAGGATTTTGCAAATTTTCACCATAAAGAAATAATAAATAAGGATAAAGGTCAACTTACTTTGTTTTAAACATTATAAAATATCTACACATATCAAAACACCCCATCATCCCACAAATTACCTCAGTTTGAAAAGTTAATTTATATTTACAAAAAAGAACTTGAAAGAAGCTTTGAAATATCTATGCTAGCCGTGGTACTCCTGGGCATGCATCCTAGAGAACGGAATTGTACTCAGGCGCCAAAAAGCTGTATGGATGTAAATACATCCATGGTATTTGTACAGACAAAAGTAGAAACAACCAAAGTGTTCCTCAGTAGGTGAGTGAGGAACTGTGCTACACATACACATGAAGACTATTCATCAGGAGGAAAATCAATGACTGACACACGTAATAGCTTCCATGGACCTCTAAATCATTTTGCTGAATGAAAACACACCATTCTCCAAAGTGGAGAAAACATAACATTCTCAACATGAGAAAAAATATAGTTGTAGTGAGGAAATTAGTGGCCAATGTTAGAAATTTGGGGAAGAGAAATAGATATGACTATAACAAGATGGCAAGAGGGCATCTCTATGGTCATGAACTAGCTGAGAATCTTCGCTACAGTTCTCATACAAATTTACCAGTGACAAAACGTGACATACACACACACACACACACACACACACACACACACACTATACCAATGTCAACCTCCTGGCTTCACTACCATAAAGCAGTTATGAATTGTGGGATGAGTCTAAAAGACCTCTCTGCACTATCTTTGCAAGAATTTCTGAATTTGTAATTATTTAAATACTTCAAAAATATATCACCATAATATATTTTCTATTGGAATAAACAGTAATACTCACTTCCAATATCTGGCCGCAGCTTTTTATCATATTCTCTCAGCAATTTGTTGAGAATGAGAGTCACATCAGTGTCTTGAGATTTTGGAGCCAAGACCCACTTTTGGTTTGATGAAGAATCTTCATATTCATCCTCTTCCACCTTTCTGGACCTGTAGTTATGACACAGAAAGTGACATATAAATGCAGCAAGGGCCCCTGCAAATACCATGCCTTCAGTGTGTCCTTTCCAAGAACCACTGAAATGAGCAGAAAGTCCCCATGACCCTAAGTACAAATCTATATGGTGCAGCTAAAATTTAAAAATGAAATGAAACACCCAGGAAGAGCTGGACAGGAAGAACGCAGCTGCTACAAACAACGCACAATGTTTTCATTAACTGACACAGATCCTTCCCCGTGCAAGTTAGACTACAGACCCCTGTGACATGGAAACCATGACAGATCAGCCAGCCGGCAATGAGCCACTCTTGGATACACCTCGCAAACCACCCAGTATCGAGGCACACACCTTCCCGAGGTTTGCTGTGGCTTCCTTTCTCATGTTGTTTCCTCTCCCAGGGACAAAACCTCATTCTTGCTAAAGAGAAGAGCAGAATTTGCAGAATGGACTCACTGGAAGTGATGGTTCTGACTGTGCTTCTCTTGAAGACTGAGTCTGGCGGTGGAGACAGACATGTGGACATTCTGAGGGTGTCTGCTTGGCCAGCACTCAAATACGGGTAAAGGTGTCAGTTGTGACTGGGAACACCCTCTGGCAATTTCGCTGGCCTCCGTTCACACAATTGGACTCACTTGTTGCAGGCTAATGCAGACACTAAGAATTAAAATCTTTCTAGTATTTCTTTAACATAGCTGTTTTGACTGGAAAGGGTGTTCGATTTTGAGACAGGGTGTCACTATGCTCTAGGCCGGCCTCATACTGCATTTGGGTTTTTAGCAAGCAGGTCCCAATGAATGCTTGAACATCTCCAAAACTGTTTCGTGTGTCGCTGAATGCAGAGCCTGCCCAGCTGGTACTCACTGACAGCAGTGCTTCAATGGACAGGCCTGGAGATGACAAGCCGATTTTCTCAGTGAGGGAGGCCAGCTCACCCACAGCCCTTCAGGCTTAGAAAAGAGTCTCTTCTTTTGTAGAAGAAGAATCTACTTGTGGATGGATCCCCATTAGCTAGGCAAGAAATCCACAAAACAAAACATTCTAGTTTGTCAGTGTGCGGGACTTGATATTTTTCTTCACAGAAGAGAAAAAAAAAAAGAATAGAAAACTGCAATATTGGTTCTGAATAGAAATGAGCTCATTTATATCCAAATTCCCAGATAGGAACCAAAATGTCAGGGCCATGTTAGCGGACCTGTGCTCTAGGATACGTTTTCTAGTGGTAATTTTTCGGATTCTCTAAGTGATATACAATGAACATAAAATCAGTAAAACTGACAAGCACTTTTAAGTTCAATTCATCTACTTCATTTAAATCTTCAGAACCATATATGTCTTATGTGTGTGCATATATACATATGTCATACAGTATATACATGAATTTTATGAGTTTGGACAAGCTGTAACATACACTAGAGTAGTGGTCAGATTGCCTAAATCTGGATGAATGTTCAGTTGTCTTTTCTTATTTGCTATGGATGGTTCCACAACCCACTTTCATGGGTACCAAAACCCAAGGATACTCAAGTCAGTCGTACAAAGTGACCTAGTATTTCATCTATAACCTTCATGGACATATTAAACCATCTTTCTTTTTTTATTTGTTTGGTATTTTTGTTTTGTTTTGTTTTGTTTTGTTTTCCAGTACCGGGAATCGAACTCATGACCTTGAGCTTGCCAGGCAGGCGCTGTGCCACTGAGCTAAATCCCCAGCCCCCTAAACCATCTTTCAAAAACTGATACAAGGTACACTGTAAATGCTATATAAATACTCATTATACAATACTGCCTAGAGGATAATGACAAGAAATATGTCTGTAAATGTTCATTCAGCACAATTGTTTCCACCATTTTCATTCCACAGTTGGTTGAATCTGCAGATGGGGACCCCACAGATATGAAGGTCTGGCTGTACCATGTATATGAGATTTTGACAATGAGTGCACAGCATATGCCCTACAGAATGACTTCTCTACTTAAGTTTTTCTTCCTAGGCTACTGCTAAACTGTAATTCTATTTCTTGAATATGTCTTGACTAGGAGGTCAAATTAATCATCCACAGAGACTACAAATTCCTGTGGATTTTTATTCACACTGAACATCCACCATCAATAGAAATTTATATATAACATGTGGGACATACATTCAGTAAGTGATACACTGAATTCATTATTTATACAACTGAATTTTTACAAATAACATAGAATTTTAGACATTGCTCTACAATATGTTAGCAGGATCAGCATCAGGAATATTAGTATTGCCATCTTGCTAAAACAAAGAACACAGGAGTTTGAAGCATTCTGATAAGTAATTGGGGACCAAGTACTGCCCACAGGACAGGGCAAATCTTTCTAGGGCAAATGTGCTGGGGGCCACGGAAAGAATGGGAGCTCTCTCCGTGGGATATACGACCACCTCAGGACACCTCTCAGAAGGAGTAATGGCTTTGAAAGAGGAATCTGGGAATCAGACTATTTCACAGTTCTGTAAAGCCTATTCAAAGAACAAAGGCTTTTTCAAAGGAGAAAGATACAGCAATGTAATATGTGTAACATTTGCATTTTTCCAACTGGTATACAGTTGTGATTACCAGCTCGGCCACCATGCTCTAGCATTCTCATGGTTCCCCCATCCTCTCCCTCTCCTCCCTCTCTCTTCCCTCCTTCTTGTGTCTCTCCTCAGTTTCCCTCCCTCCCTTCCCTTCTTCCTTCTTTCCTCCTCTTCCCCTCTCTGATCTTTTTCTTGACCCTCACCTCCCCAACACTGCAGAACCGGGTCACGGTCCCCGGGCTCTGTACCCTCTCTTGGCCCGACAGTCACGTGTGCACAGACTGGGCACACTCACCAACTCCCCACCATCCGCTACAGGCACGGCCTTAGGTTCTAAAAATTACTTGGGGATATTCCATAACGGGTACTATTAGAATGAGTCTAATTCTCCCTCTAGTGGTGAGGATTTTCCTGAAATTGCATAAGCTTCCTCCCGAGTAGCCAGGGCAAGAGGGAAGGGGGAAGAACGGAGAAAAGGGAAAGTGGGAGCATTTTCTGTGACCCCTTCGGGAGGAACCCCTGGACCCCAACTCTGTCGCTGAGCAGCATGGACCGTGGGCAGAGGAGGCCGGAATGCCGTCGCCTCCCAGCTGTGAGACAGGAACACTGTAAAGATGCGCCCGAAGCCTTGCACTGCTAGTGCCAGACACCAGCCCCACAGGCAGGTCCTCACTGTGAGGAAAACGAAGTCTCCCGCGGGAACCAACAGAGGGTGGGTAACACTGAACTCTCCTTTCCTAAATCCTGCGTGGGTTATACATAATCCTTAGGAGCATTCTGGTACTGGGATTGTGGCATCCTAGGCACCATTACTGCAATTAGCTTTCTCTTAAAAATAAATCAGTGATGTAATGTCATTGTCAAACAACTGCTCAACCCTCAGACACTATTTCCATGCCCCACACCTTTTCTTCATGCAGAAAGAGATTAAAGTCTGATGCATATTAAACATTAAAAGGAGCTAATAAATCTCCGAAAGCAGCTGAGCATCTTGAATCCCGCACCAATGTCCAAGGGTGACTTACTGCATTTCACCGGGTATCTCGATGGGAAGCCCTCCCTCTGATCGCAGTAACTCACCCACAAACCCTAACTGTCAGAGCCTTTTCCAAGGCTCTTCCCTACCAGGAAAACATTCCTGAATGGAGAGAAGAGCCCTCTCGGAATGAGTAACAGTTTTGAAAGATGAAACTGAGCCTCAGATTATTTCACACTTCTCTAAAACCCAAAGAACAAAGCCTTTTCCAAAGGAGAAAGATATAGCAATCCAATTACTGTAACACTTGCCTTTCTGCACCTGGTATACAAGCCTCATCACCACAGCTGAGACCCTGGATAGAGAACATCTTAAAATCAGCACGTCTGCCTTTGCTGAAGGAGATTTTATGTGCACTTGGGTATTCCCACAAACCTGACCACAACCTGACCACTTCCGGAGAGATACTGAGACATTTTCCCACTGACCATCCTTCGAGAATGTTAATAAATACAGATCTATCTAGTTAATTACCTAGCTCTAAACGGGTGCTTCCTTCACAGAGCCAGTGGCAAGAGAAAGTTCACATAGATATGACTCCAGGCCTAGGTGCTGTGCCTGGTACTGCCTGCCTCAAAACAGAGCTACCTCCGGCTCAATCAACCTCAAAACCCACATTTCCATCTTTCTACCAGCTCCCTCCTCACACAGGAAGAAACTCCGGCTCAAAGGCCCGATCGCCCTGCCTCATTCAGCACTGTCTATGAGTCACCAGCGCAATTTGCTTTCCCACTATCAACTCAGCAAAGACGAGTGGCTTGCAGGGGAGGCCCAGGGTTTTCTTCCTTAAGGTAAGCACTTGTGTCAGACCAAGTAAGAGCAGGGGGCCCAATCACATGTCCAGGCGTTTATTAGTGTGTCTTCGTAGCTCCCGGGTGTTTCACAAATATAAATGCAAACAAAGACCTCCCGACAGCAGCAGAGCTTGGTACCCACGGGCATGCTCTCTAATTTTCGAATTCCCAGACCCAGGAAATTGAGCAGTGTATTGAGAACAGGAGTGTGCTGAGGTCTGGGCTGGGGCGTAGGCGCAGCAAGCCAGGAGGTAATCTGCTCTGCAAAGTCCAGGGCAGCCCGAAAGCTGCAGCCGGAGGTCCAGCTGAGAGATGGAATTAAATATCCCAGGATATTTCCGTGTTTAGAGCAACAGGTTTTAACCCTCCATGCCCTTCCATCCCCGAGCCCTCTTCATCTCTCCTGGAGGCTTTCTAAGTCCTGCTGAGGTTGCTGCTGCTTGGGAGGAAGGTTAAGGGTATTTAAGGGTGACATCAAGAACCAGGCAAAATGGGGGGCGGGCGAGGGGTGGGGAAACAAACCACTGAGCTCCACCAGCCCCTTTCTTTGTCTTGTGACAGTCTTAGTCTGAGGCAGTCATCCAGGAGGACTCGAACTCTGATCCTCT